TCTCCAAGTTTTCGTGCTATCCATGTTCTTTGAAGGTTCATCCCAAGATAATTCTAACGTAGTCTAGTGAAATCAAGATCATGTACATTGAACCACAAGGGTGGTGCCTGGTTGGTTTGAACTTGGCTCCAAAGGTCAAAAGTACCAGGAGGTCCCAGGTTCAAATCCAAGGAGGAATAAAAATCCCCTTGTGGCCACGGAGGTTCAAATGCGGTGACTCTGGGCTATCAGCAAAGCAGGTGGTCGCCATGGGATTAGTCGGCTCGCATAGCATGTTGGATATTCAGATTAATAAAAAAAAGATCATGTACATTGTTTGAATACAATTCATACCCATAAACGCAACCTTGGATACTTAAAATAGATTATGGGTATCTGTCATTTTCTTTGATATTTAATCAGTCGATTACATCATAGTCAAAACAACACAATACACCACTTGTTTCAACCTTAACGACCATCTCTTTGTAGTAAATTTAGGTTGAAAACGATGCTCCGTAGGAGCTCAGTAGAAAGTAAATACATCACAGAACTTTAAAATGTCATATCTTTTGACTTGGACCTCTGGTCAAGACCATTTTTTAAATCTCTGTGTTTTTTCATGAGTTACACAATAACGTACTGTTCGACAAGTTTACCCGTACTTTTTATCTGCCAAAACTCGTTGTACCTTCTGAAAGGCTTCTATTATCGTTGTTCTGATATAGGATCTCCATCAAACTGAATTATACAAAAACATCTATCGAATTATTGTCGAGCCTATATCGAACTACAAATAAACAACAAGGGCTTTGGATTTCATTAGATCTCGAAACTTACAACTGAAGTACTAAACGATCAAAATTTACACATTTACGATTAAATATTGTGAGTTTCGCGAGCACTTTTATCTAAAGGTTGTGTTTTACATGATTTTTTTTTCTATTTAAATGTAGTATTTAATGTATTGATTAACATATATTTGTTTCACAATGTGTTTGTTACATATGTATTCGGTTCACAATATAAAACTTTTTTACGAGTACTTTTTGTTTCTTTAACACGCCAAAAAGGTTTTCATTATGAACCATGTACATGTAAAACAAACACATTGTGGAACAAATATATGTTAATTACTATATTAAATTCTAACTATAAATGGAAAAAATATATATGAAATAACACATGAAGTATCGGTTCTAAGAGATCTCATGGTTTAGAGAGTTCTCAAAATAAAGTCCCTATATCTATACTATATTATAAAACATTTGACAAAAACTCTTAAAAATCACTTTTTATGCGTAAAGTACTGTTTATTAATGCATATTACTTAAAACTCAAGATTGCATGTAGATTATGCGTAAGTACAACTTATTAAAGTTTTATGTCTGAATTCGTGTAACTAACTGTAGATAAACATAATCAAATACAAGATAAACATCTCATTTTAAATATAAAAAATCTAAAACCGTATTATAACATCGATAAAGACAAATAATAAAATAGAACATTAAAATCGAGATGTGTCTCGCTGCATTACGCGAGTACTCTTCTAGTATACATATATGTATGTATATGGGGTTGGGTTCACATGAAACCATTTTTTTACACTTGAAACTTCATAACAAAACGCTATGAAGGTAAAAAAAAAAACGAACTTTCACAGCAAAAACACTGTGAATGTTACATTTACAACATTTTGCTGTGAATTTTCAAGTATAAAAAAATAGTCTCACAAGTCACACAAAAACAAACTGGTCTCACATGACCCAGCCTTATGTATATGTAAATTTGTATTTTCATAATAACGAAAAACCAAATTCTTTATAAATAAAAATAAAGTTTAAATACAATACACGTGGACGGCAGATTTTCCATTAACAAAAATACAAAAAACGTGGACGGCAGGATTCGAACCTGCGCGGGCAGAGCCCACATGATTTCTAGTCATGCCCGATAACCACTCCGGCACGTCCACTTTGATGTACTTCATCTTAATTTAATTTATTTATTTAATATTCTGAGTTTAAGAAATACGTTTTATGTCCCTCTAGTTTCTTAAAAGTTGCAAATTTTGTCCTTGTGATTTTGAAATTGTGGTTCCCAACCCTGTGATTTACGGTTCATTGCTATTTTCGTCAATGAAGATAACTGATACTTTTAAGTACAAGGGATGAACATAGCAGTTACTTTTAAACCACAAGAACGAAACTGTAATAAATTGTAAATCATAAGAACGAAAACAGTAATAAACTGTAGATCATAAAGAGAAAATGACAATGAATTGTAAACCATATAAATGAAAGTTTTGTAATTTTAAAAGTACATAAGCGAAATTGCGATTTTGAACAAACCATAGGGACAAAAACGTAATCTATTTTAAATATTATTTTTTTTAAAATCACTTGTGAAATTTTGAAATACCAATTCATATGAATTATCTCAATCTCAACTGGGATTCATCCAAACTCACTGTATCTAATGTCAGATTGGTTAATGACTCATGTATTATAGTTGTTGATGATAAATATTTTGTTTATAGATTATTTATGTTTCAATGGCAACTGTGTTTCTTTTCGACTCGTGAGACAGATGATTTCTTTAAAGCGTTGTTCATGTCAAGTGTTCATTAGATTTCATTGGATTTTGTTCGGTTTTCATTTTCTCAAGTTGAAGAGTCCATCAGTTGAGATCCATTCAACTGTCATTGTTTAGGATTGATTAACCTAGATATCCAACCCGCTATGCGAGCCGAGTAATCCCAAGGCGACCACTTGATTTACAGATAGCCCAAAGTCATCGCATTTGAACCTCCGTGGCCACAAGGGGATTTTTATTCCTCCTTGGATTTGAACATGGGACCTCCTGGTACTTTTGACCTTTTTGAACATATGTTCAAAGGAAGACTGCATCAATAAAGAAAATTTTGGACATGTCTTTTTGTTGGTTCAAAGAAACCCCGGATTTTTATCTTGTTCGATGAAAGATGGGGTTTTATCCGGCCCGACTAGTTTGGAAAAGGAAAAGCTAAACTGTTGACACGTTTTCGTATCATATGTTATACGAGTTATATAACTTTTTTTTAGCTGATTCAGCTGTATACAGTAGTAGATTTGAACCTAAGCTTAATCGGTGAAAATCAGACATCATGGTCGTGGAAAGGACAGAATCTCTCTTTTTCTCCCATTGCCTTGTATTGTGGGCAAGGTCTTAAATTCAAAAGACAGTCCAAAACGCACTGTCTGATCATGACTTCATCCTTCTTCTTTTTTTTCGAAGTCGATCATTTTTATAGTCTTTCAACGTTATCTCCACAATCCCGTCAATTGAATTTTCTCGAATACCGACGTTCGTCAAGCTCATCACTTTCGTTATGTTCTCAAATTTTGGAAAGAAATAAAAGAAATTGAAGGAAAGGAAAAGACAGAAAAAAAAAATGTGTTATAGGAGTTGAGGGAAACGAAGAAAAGTCAAGGACGAAATTTTATTTTCACGTTCTTAAATTTTATTTATATAAATATACTTTTATTTATTTTATAGTGGAATGATTGATGAGTATTAGAAGGGTACTCGCGCAATGTAGCGAGATATATATCTCGATTTCGATGTTTTATTTTATTTTTATTTTTGTTACCGTCGATGATATAATATGGATTTATGTAGTTTTGAGAAATAATGTTTTTCTTAATAAAATATAAATTTGAAGATATCATAAAAAATTTAAAAAATATGAAAGTCATTCTTTTGTGTAATTTCTTTAGTTCTTCTTTTTATTATAATTTACTTTAAGTTTAATGGCGAAATAATTGTTTTTGATTTAATAATATAATTTTTATAAAGATAATAACTAAATATTCTATTAAAACTCAATAACTATTCTAATTATATTTTAGATTTTATATTTAAAATAAGAATTTTATCTTGTATTTGATTATATTTATCTACGTTTTATTACACGAATTCAAACATGAAGTTTAATAAGTTGTACTTATGCACAATTTACTAGTGATCTTAAATTTTATATAATATGCATTAATAAGCAATATTTCATATATAAAAGATGATTTTTAAGAGTTTTTATCAAATGTTTTATAATAAACAATAAATACATACAATTTTATAAATATTTTTAATTTTTATAAATTATTTACCTCCCTTTCTTTTTCCTCCCACATTTTTAAGTTAAAAAATCATAATTGAGATTAGACTTGTAACAAAAGCATATAACCAAAACCTGCACACCTGGGGTGTTTGAGATTGTTTTTAAAAATAATTTATTTATTAACCACAAGGGTGGTGCCTGATTGGTTTGAGCTTGGCTCCAAAAGTCAAAAGTACTAGAAGGTTTCAGGTTCAAATCCAAGGAAGAATAAAAATCCCCTTGTAGCCACAGAGGTTCGAATGCGGTGACTCTGGGTTATCTGCAAAGCAGGTGGTCGTCCTAGGATTAGTCGGCTCACATAACGCGTTGGATATCCAGGTTAATAAAAAAAACAATTTATTGACTTATTCTAGTGTGACACCGATAATAAACATTTTTGAGTGTTTGGATAAACAACTTATACCGATATCAAACCGGTAATAAGAAGTTTTTAAAAAAGTAAAACTCCTCCGACTTATAATAAGTTGATAAGTGCTTTTGCAGAAAAGCATAAGTTGTTTCGAATAAGCAATCCCAAACACCTCCTATATCTTATTAAAAAACAGGGTCCGGAAACATGACCTCTATATCAAACGGTAGAACAATTATTTCCATTAGGGATTGTGTAAGAGTATGAACAATCAAGTAGCAGGAATAAAGATTTAAAGAAAATCCATATAACCCACTGAATGGGAAAAAAAAAAAGATCTGATTAGATCAAGATATACGCAGATCTTACCTCTATCAGTTCCGCTTGCTTGTAAATATAAAGCACACATGTACTAGTAGAGCTTGTGGCAAGCTTCAATTTCAAGAAACTTACCAAGAGAGTATAACACAAACAAAAACACCATGAGTAATTTACCCAAGGGTTTTATCAAGAAAATGGTGCTAGTATTTATAACACAAATAGTCAAATACTCCAAATTCGCGCAAAATGATCGAGTATAACCAGACGTAATTTCAAACATAAAAAATATCGCGTACAAGTTTTACGCTATAATAGGTGTCTGAAGTTGCTTTTACAACTTCGCTGCAAAAACCAGTTACCAGAAGACAGACCGACTTGCAAGATCCATGGTCGAAGAGGAAACATTGTCGGAGCTTCAAGAATTTTTTGACTCGAGGATCAGATAATCTGCAAAAGAAGAAAACAATCGAAAATCTAAAAGGGTGTTTCCGGAGCTTTACCATTTGTAACTTGCTACAAAGTAATATCATATTCACGAGGACAAGAATAAACCAAACCAAACCAAACACACCCAGTATTTCCCACTCGAAAGCAGGGTCTTGGGAGGGTGGGATCAGGGATGTATGCAGATCTGACCTTTACCCAAAAAGTGTTTTCACAAGGATAAACCAAACCTTGTATATCCCACCTGAAGCAGACCTGACTTCCACCTAAGAACTAAAGTGGTTGTTTCCGTAAAGAATTGAACACGAGCCTACTCACACAACCCACGGGTGGTTAGTAAGGATGACGCTAAACTAACACAGTGTATCCCACTCAAAACTAAGATCTGTGTGGAAAACCCGTCATCTGTCCCAAAGGGTGAAAGCAGTTGTTTCGTAACTCTTAACTATACACGGGAATTAGATGGTGCGTATAGCACATACAACACCATTGGGTTATTTTAGCTAAATGACCTCCCGAAATGTGTTTTTTAAATCCATGGCCTTCTGACAGATATCTAGACATTCGTATGTAAGAAGTGCCATTCTTTCGTTAAGTAGTGACATTCTCAAACTTGTCTAAAGGTCATAGGCTTATAAAAACGTGTCAAAAGGTTATAGATTTAAAAAAAGAACCGGTAGAAGGTCATTTAACCAAAGAACCCAACAACACTAAACTGCAAATCTGCAAGAAATGTTTTCATGATATCAACAATTTTTTTTTGTTTTGATTAACCTGGATATCCAACCCGCTATGCGAGAGGACTAATCCCAGGGCGACCACCTGCTTTGCAGGTAGCCCGGAGTCACCGCATTTGAACCTCCGTGGCCACAAGGGGATTTTTATTCCTCCTTGGATTTGAACTTGAGACCTCCAGGCACTTTGACCTTTAGAGCTCAAGCTCAAACCAATCAGGCACCAACCTTGTGGTTTGATATCAACAATTTAACATTGAATTCACAAAAAATATTGCACAAATCATAATCTTTTATGAATCTAGGACTACAATTGTTGATAGTAGATGCACAAGATTGAATGCAAAGATTATTCTCAAAAACTATTTAGTATCAATCCACAAATATAGCAAGCAAAAATAGGAAAATATTGTTAAAAATGCAATGGAAACAAGGCAACTGGACCTTCAAATCAAGAAACCAAACTAGGATCAAACTGCTTCAACATGTCACAGTTAGGCGTTGAGCGTTGATAACCCCAATGAAGTCGCTGTGTTTCTAGCCGGCAATTGTGAGAAAGAATCGACAAGTAGTCATGTTCGATCCTTCCTTCAAGTTGAACTCGTTCTGGACTATTCAACGGATAATCCTGCTCAAAATTGCGTGATTTCACAAAGAAATTAACCCCTTTTTGCGTAACGAAACGGTGCTCATAAGAGTAACTCCTCGAAAGGGAATAAATTGGCTCATTATTGGATGGCAAGAAGTTCACCAACAGAATCAGAAGCACGGGCAACAATTGAAGTAAAGCCCGAGTGTTAAACCCGTTTGAACCATTATCAGCCGTTCTTGTCCCCATCCCGGTCCCAAAATTGAACCCAGTGAACTGTGTGGTGGTGGTTCGAGGACCGTTCATTCCTCCGAAGAAAAAGTTCCTAAAGATTTCATCTGCATCAACATCTCCTTCGTGAAAGAACCCGTTACGGAACCCTTGATGAGCCCGCTGCCTAGTGGTTTGCCGTTCATAAACGGGCTCGTCTGATCCGAGAAGATCGTACTTTTTCCGATTCTCATCGACACTCAAACACTGGAAAGCTTTCGAGACTTTTTTGAAAGCCTCTTCGGATCCAGGTGCTTTGTTTTTATCAGGATGAACTTTTAAGGACAATTTTCTATAAGCTTTTCTAGCATCTTCAACACTACATGACTTCTCCAAACCTAGTATATCATAGTAATCCTTTTTCCTTCTAATTTCCCTCACAATTGTGATCTGTTCAGCTGTACATGATCCTAATCCTGAACCCGAACCCAAACCCAAACCCGATGAAGATCCGGTTGTTGGAACCCTACGACGAACACCAGAACTATCACCATCACCGGCACCACTCTCCGGCGACTTCGATGATTCGTTAGTCGGATTACCTTCTAGAGTCGATAACAGATCGTCAACGGGAAGAGACGGATCTAAACGTTGAGCTTTCGAGATGAATTTCAAGGCACGAGCTCGATCGCCTAACCCTAATGCATCTTTCCCGATCTTTAAACATTTCAACGCTTCGTCTTTGTTTCCATCCATCTCAAATAGATCAAAATTTCAACTAAACAAACCCTAACGAACACAGTATATGATCGAAATCAAACAGTAAATCGGTAAATAGTGAGTTTACCTGGAATTAATCAATGAATCCCCAAATCGAAGAGCGAACATCAATTGGAAGGAGAAATTGAGGTTAGATTTATGGTTGAATCAAGTGGGTTTTGGAAGTTGATGAGATAATGATGGATTGTTGAGAGGAAATCGGATGAAATTGGAGGAGAGATGACGAGATGATCCTAATCGTTTAGGAGTCCCATGAGAGAATTGAGGGTTAGGTATAGAGTTATACTTTGAAGTCTGCCTTTCTGAACAAGACACGTATCACGTGACATATTCACCCTAAAATAACATTCAATCTTTATAGTAAAAAACTATCTTTATAGTAACAAAATAAATGGAACAAGAATGAGATGGAAATTAAAATATTATTAATTTATCTAAATTTGATATAATGTTAATATGGTACTTGTTTTAATGGTCATCACCGCTAGTTCCGGCTGCTGCCACCACCGACGGTCACCGACAACCACCTTCACTTCCTGTTCCACTACAACAACATCCTCCATCGTCTCCACAACCACCGTCCACCGTTGTCTATCGCCACCTCTACCATAGTCAACTGCTAATCATTCACTGTCAATTGTGACTACCACTACCGCCGTTCGCCACCTCCAACTCCTCCTCTACTACAACAACCTCCTTCACCACACCTACAACCACCGTCCATTGTCACATTTACAACCATTATTGACCACCACCAACACTACCACTGTTGGCCACCTTCAACTCCTCTTATGCCTCAATAACCTCCTCAACAACCTCCTCAACAACCACTGTCGACCATCGACCACCGGTGTCCATTGCCACCTCTACAACCACCATCAGACACCAACCACCACCTCTACTGCAACAACCTCTTCCACAACCTCCACAACCACTATCGACCACCACCGTCCATTGCCACCTCACCTCTACCATAACTACCACCACCACTATCTTAACTACATCAGCCACAATTACCTCCTCCACCGTTGTCAACTGCCACCACCACCACAATCCACCAACTTCACGTCATCTATAACCACTGTCGTTCACCAACCACCATCGCCTCTACCTCCATAACCACCGACTACCACCTTCCATCGCCACTAGTACGTCGACCATCGATCCCCACCTCCCATCACCACTACTACTATCAACCACCTCTACCTCCACGTCCCATCGCCACTACTACTGTTGGTCACCTCCACCTCCACCATAACCAAACCACCTCCACCACCACTACTACCATAAACTATATCAAAATAATCTTTCAAAATTGGTACCATTATATATGTATGTATTCATTTATATGAAAATTGTATAAAAATATTTATAAATTAAATTCTTTAATAATTTACTTTATTTCTATTAATTAAAACTATTATATAATATTTAGAACCATCAAATAACTTTGCGGGGTAATTTGTCTATTTATGTCTTGTCCAGTCCTAGTCGTACCAAGCACCAGACATGCACTTGTTCAGTCTCGTCCAGTCCAATCATGTTTGCGCAAACGCTCATGGTTTTACGGTTCTTATGAACATATGATGGTATCACATGGATCCAAGTCTAATCATAATCTTATATCTACATATCATGGTCCGAAAAAAATAAGTTGTAGGTAAACAAATAATCTTGGGTTGGAATCTAGTGCAAAGTCGGCCCAAAAAGCCTAGACACCAGCTCGGCTCTTAAAGCACGAGCAAACCAACCCTTTTTAAGGTCCGGTTAAGACTTAACTCGAAAAACGTCCTGTCTTAAAAAAATTCAGTCGAATTTGAAAAATGGAGCCTAAAAATCCCGATTGCACTATCTTTCTAGAGAAAAAATAAACACGTAACAATAATTTTTATTTTTTATTTTGTAACAATTGGTCCACATTAACCGATATCATTTTTGCAAGTTTTTAATCCTTGATCTTTAAGAAGATTAGAATATTTCAGTGATCCAAATACTATTGGACCAAAGACCCATAAGCCTTTTTGGAGGATAAGTATTGTTAGAGAGCAGAGGTAATCGTTTGCGGGTTTGGACCGAGCTCGACCCAAACCCAACGTATGTATTTTATCCAACGGACCTTATATAACAAATTCAAGAGTCAAGACCCTTTTTGCAGGCTTGTTAACTCACTACTCCTACTTGTAATCCATAAGAACGAATGGATCACAATACTATCCCACAATACTGCATTTTGCCTTTGTTAGAGTTAAGGGCAACCGAACCTTCATTCAAGAAACGGAACTACATCAAATTGCTTCAATATGTCACAAAGGAAATATCGGCAATTGGATCTCAATCAAGAAACCGAACAACATCAAACTGCTTCAATATGTCACAATGGAAATAACGGCAACCGAGGTTGACCATCAATGTACATTAAACTGCTTCAACATATCACAATAGAAATAAAGGCAACCGGGGTTGACCATCAATCAACATTGAACTGCTTCAATAGTCACAATGGAAATAACAGCAACCAGGTTGACCCACAATCAACATTAAACTGCTTCAATATGCCACAATGGAAATAACCGCAACTGCACTATCAATCAAGAAACCCAACTATATTAATCTGCTTCAACATGTCATAATGGAAACAACGTCTTCTTGACCATCAATCAAAAAACCAAACTTCATCATAAGACTGCTTGAACATGGCCTCGAAAGCTAATAAACATGCTACCGCAGCCAAAACCACCAGCAAAAACTGAACCACAACGTCCAGGTCGAACCCACCCAGACCGTTGTCCGCCGTTCGTGTGCCCATGCAGTTTCCGGTGCACCGAGTGGTAGTAGTCGGCTGATGATTTGTTTCTCCATAGAAAAAGTTCCGAAAGATCGTCTCGGCATCACCATCCTCACCATGACCATCATAATAGACTCCATTACCAAACTCTTGATGAACATCATGCTCAGTTGTATGTTTATGATAAACAGGTTCATCATCATCGGATCTGATAGAATCATACCTTTTCCGATCAACATCCACACTCAGACACTTGAACGCCATTGAAACTTTCTTGAAAGCTTCATCGGATCCAGGTGCGTTGTTCTTATCAGGATGAACCTTCAATGACAGTTTTCTGTAAGCTTTTCTAACATCTTCAACACTACAGGTTTTCTCCAAATCTAGAATATCGTAAAAATCCTTTTTCCGTCTAATCTCAGTGACGATTGTGATCTGTTCTTCTGTATATGTTCCTGAACCAGAGCTTGTTGAAGATCCAGTTGCCGGAACCCTACGCCGGACACCAGAACTATCTCCACTTTCCGGCGATTTATTCGCCGGATTACCTTCTAGAGTCGACAACAGATCGTCAACGGAAAGAGAAGGATCTAGACGTTTAGCTTTCGAGATGAATTTCAATGCACGAGCTCGATCGTTCAAACGTAATGCATCTTTTCCAATTTTTAAACATGTCAACGCTTCATCTTTGTTTCCATCCATTTCCAAAAAGGATCACAAAAGTTTCAACTGAAGAACACAGTATATGATCAAATCAAAAGTAAATCACTGAGTTTACCTGGAATGAATCAATGAAAACCCCCAAACTGCAATCAATCTTCACTGGAAACCCTTGGCGACGTAAATTCAGGTTGTATGTCAGATTTATCGTTGAATCAACTGGTGTTTTGGAAATTAATGTATGTATGATCGATTGTGGAGAAAATTTTGATGATATAAATCGTTTTAAGAACCCCAAGATGGAAGAAATTTGGGTTCTCAAAAGTCAACAATATTCTATCTATGCTGTAATACAATCATTTCATCAAAATTCTTCAAAACATTTTTTTTTTTAATGTATAAATTAGTGTATATTGATACATCTTACTTAAAGTTCAAGATTACAAGTAAATCATGTATAATTATAATTTATTAAAGTTTTATGTTTAAATTCATATAACTAACTACAGATAAACATAATCAAATATAGAATAAATATCTCATTTTAAATTTTAAAATATAATTAGGATAATTATTAAGTTATAATTATTATTTTTATAAGAAAATTATATTATTAAACCAAATATAAATTATTTCATTATTGAACCTAAATTAAATTATAATAAATAAATTGAATTAAAAAATTACACAAAAAATATGAATTTTAAATAGTTTATTTGATACTAATATAAATATATTTTTGTTAATTTTTTATGATATTTTCAAATTTATATTTTATTCAAAAATAAAAACATCAACGTTTTTTAAAAATCACATAAGACCATACTATAACATCGACTGAGACAAATAATAAAATGAAATATTAAAATCAAGATGTATCTCACTGTATTGCACGAGTATCCTTCTAATATTATATATAATCATCAAACAGCATTTAATAAAATAATAATAATTCAATTTAATTGGGAGAAATTTACATGAACATTTTTCCATAAATAGCCAAAATTTTGTTTTAAGGGGAAAAAAAGAATTGAAAAAAGCATCTTTATCCATAAAATCTTTTTTTCGATTCCAATTATCTAAAAAAATTCACCATAAACCCTTATAAATAGTTATTTAATTTATTTTTTATATCTTATTTTTCATTTTTTATTTTACATCTTTATTATATTAATACACATACATTAACCATAACTAGAAGGTAATCGCGTAATGCAGCGAGATACATCTTAATTTTAATATTTCACTTTATATTTTGGGTCTATCAATGTTATAATATGGTTTTATGTGGTTTTAAGAAAAATAAAATGTTTTTATTTTTTAATAAAATATAAATTTGAAAATATTATAAATTTTTTATAAAAATAACTGACATTAGTGTCAAATTTACTATTTAAAAGTTCTCGTTCTTTTTACAGTTTATTTAATTCAATCTCTTTGTTATAATTTAATTTAGGTCAAATAGTGAAAGTAATTTATTTTTGACTTAACAATAAAAAGACTTATAAAGATAATGATTATCCTAATTATATTTTAGATTTTTTATATTTAAAATGATATTTATCATGTATTTGATTATGTTTATCCACAGTTAGTTATTCGAATTCGAATATGAAGCTTTAATAAGCTGTACCTACGCACAATCAAGTTGTAATCTTGAATTTTAAGTAATATGCATCAACAAACAGTACTTTATGCATAAAAATTTATTTTTAAGAGTTTTTGTCAAATGATTTATAATATAGTATAGATATATAAAATAAAATATATTTTTTTATAAATTACATCATTATAATCGACTCATCAATACGTTCAAAATAACCCCAATATTGAATATTTTTTAATTTAATCTTATATTATTAAATATAATAAATACTTGCGAATTTTTTTTTTGTAATACTTATATTTTCTACTATTGTGGTTATTTATTTAATCTGTAACTATAATAGTATAAAGTGAAATTATTAAAATTTATTCGTAACTATTTATAATATTTAATAAGATAATATTAAATCCAAAAATATTCAATATTGCTCTCTTTGAACGTATTAAAAAGACGATTATGAGCAAATCCCGTTCAATGCTTGATAGAATTCAGATTGACCTTAAATCTTATCTTAATACCTTAAAACTGTCTGTAAGGCTAATTTAGCTTAGGGAAAAGGCTCGTTAACTAGCCGTGACGTAGTAAACTAAAAGTACAGAGTAAATTGTAAAAAAAAAGTATTTTTAATGTATTTTAGTTAATATATGATTACGTGTTAATAAAGATGTAAAATGGAAAATGAAAAAGTAAGAGATATGATCCGTAAATGAATTTTACACTTTGCATCCTTATACTTAGTTATTTAATTTATTTTATATCTCTTACTCTTTTTCATTTTTCATTTTTATTATATTAACAAATATAATCGTTTATTAACTAAAATACATTAAAAATATGTTTTTTTATAAATTATATCATTATTAGAAGGATACTCGCACAATGCAGCGAGATAAATCTTCATTTTAATATTTTGTTGTATTTCGTCTTTGTAGATGTTATAATATTGTTTTTATGTGGTTTTGTGAAATGAATAATGTTTTTATTTTTGAATAAAATATAAATTTGGGGATATCATAAAATTTCAAAAATAAATATATAAATATCAGTATCATATTAACTATTTAAAAGTTCTTGTTTTCCAATTTTTTATTACAATTTAATTTAAATCTAATAACGAAGTAATTTATTTTTGATTTAATAATACATATTTTTTAAGGATAGTAATTACTGTTATAACTCAATGATTATCTTAATTATATATTAGATTTGTTATATTTAAAATGAGATATTTATTCTTTATTTGATTATATTTATCTACAATTAGTTAAACGAATTCAAACATGAAGCTTTAGTAAGTTGTACTTAGATACAATTACTTGTAATATTGAATTTTAAGTCATATGCATCAATAAACAGTACTTCATGCATAATAAATTGTTTTTAAGAATTTTTGTTAAATGCTTTATAATATAGTATAGATAATTTTCTTGTCAATACGTTCAAAATTATCCCAATATTATTTTTTTGATTTAATATTATATTATTAAATATTATAAATACTTACAAATAATAATCTACTTTGTACTAATAATAAAAAGGGTTATTTATAAAAATAACCGGTTTACACAACCTTTTGCCACAAAATAACCACATTTTAGAGGTTTTGCCAAAATAACCACCCCGGGGGCGATCCGTACACAATGGGGGCGATCCCGGGTTAAAAAAATCCTCAAAAGTCAAGATTACTGTTCACCTCGTTGACCGTGTTTGACCTCACCCCGGGGCAATCCGTATTGTACCGGGGGCGATTCATACTGTACGGGGGGCGATCCGTACTGTTCACCTGTGTTTTTTTTTTATAACATTGAAGTTGTATTTTTTAACTTTTTTAGAACCAAATTTCATGGGAAAAAATTTAAAAATAAATCTTTATAATTATGGAGACGCAAAAATTATTTTTCTCTGTGTTTTTTAAACCAAGTTTTAACTTTTTTGTGTTTTTTATTTAACAATTAAGGGGTGTTTTTAATAAAAATTGAAAAATACATAATGTGTGTCTTTTTACGTATTTAATTTTAAATTTCACGGTTTTTCGTTATAAAATAACCGGATGATAATTGTAGTTACGAAAAAAAATATATCTTCTGCCATATCTACATCCCACAACGGTTTTGACAGTTCGAGAGACCGGATCAGGTACCGGTTGGGAGACTGCATCGGAGGCATGTTCAAGTCTTGAACAAAATAACTGTCAGGTTCAACGGTAACTTTTTGTTCAAGATATGAATTTCCAGCACCATCGTAGGGG